TAGTCTCAACTAAACCTGAACTCCAGTCAGAGACATCAGCAGGTGTTCATCAGCGTTCTCAGTGAACCAGGTTTTCTTCTTCAGACTCTCATTAAAGGAGGCGTTTAACGCGTCATGTGACTCTCCTGCAGTGAACGGACCAATCAGGTTCCTCCTGCTTCGGCCAGCAGCTTGTTCTAATGAGAACAACGAGGAACATCAAGAACTGTGACTTTAAAGAGCTGCTGCTGGAGATGATGCAGGACAGGAAGCTGCTGGAGACCTGCTCATCATGTGGTCACTATGGATGGTCCTGATCAATGCAGCAGATTATTGATACCTGACGGCTGGTTATTGGTAACCGATGGCTGATTATTGATCACTGACAGCTGATTATTGGTAACGATGGCTGATTATTGATCACTGACAGCTGCACAGTAAAGCTATTAAACCTTAAACTTGTTATATTTAACCCTGATCTTGTACTGAAGCTCATTCAGGTCTGACTCTGTCCCATGAAGCAGGAAATCTCTTTCATAACAACAAATCAAAGTGAATCAATGCCCCTGATTGGATGTTCTCTGTTATAAATACCAATAGATGATCAATGTTCTGATCAGTGATCTATCAGCTGCAGGACCAGCAGAGTAAACGGACCAAACACAGAAACGCATTCATGTGATTTCTGCATCAGCAGCTGAACACATGTAGGTTTCCATGGCAACAGGATGCCTCCAGTGTGTGATGCTGTAACTGCTTCATTCAGTGTTTCAGTAACGTACAGATCAGCAGGTTTACAGAGAAACACCATCATCGGGAACAGGTTTGGTTAAAGGGAGACGCTGAGCACAACCTGGACCAAGTTAGCATCAGTTACCATGGAGACCTAGCTCCACGGCACCAGTTACCGTGGAGACCTAGCTCCGCAGCATCAGTTACCATGGAGACCTAGCGCCGCAGCACCAGTTACCATGGAGATGCAGCTGGTTACAGAGAAACACCTACCTGACACCGAAAACTCTGACTGTAGCTCAACATATCTTGCTAACCCATTAATCTCGCTGTGTAGTCCATCCCTCTGGTCCTGACTGAATCTACAGACAAAATGATTGATGGTTGATTTACACTAATCAATAATCAATGAGCTGCAGATTTCATCTGTAGAATGTGACAAACTTCTGTCCTCGCTGGCTCAGGTGGTAGAGCGGGTTGGCCTCTAATGGCAAGGCTGGTGGTTCGATCCCCCACCCCACAGTCCAAGTGTCCTTGAGCAAGACACTGAACCGGAAGTTGCTCCCGATGGCAGGCAGCACCTGGCATGGCAGCTCTGTCGCCAGTGGTGGATGAATGTGATCTACTCTCAGATGTACGTCGCTTTCTAAGCAACACAGGTGATTTGGTTAGAGAATATCAGACCTGTTGGTGTTATCATCAATCATCCCGAACTGATCCGAACTGTCTGTGGAGCAGCACAAACTCTGTCCAGGTGTGTCTGATGAAGCGCGGGTGCTTAAAGGGATCGGAGCAGCAGCAGAAACAGCAGATTTCTGAATAGAGTGTGTCCTGGACATCAGGGAGCTGTTAGCCACGGCGGCTAATCTCATGTCATGATGAATGAAAGTGAAGCTGACTGACCCGTCACCAGGTAACCCGTTACCTGGTAACCGCTCACTAACCACAGCGACCAGATGCAGCTTATCGATAAACCACCGATTATTGATGTGCAGGACATCGAACGGACAGAACAAAGAAACACACATGCTAATGCTAACAGCCGCTAACAAAGCAGACTCGCTTCTCACCTTTGTCCTCGCGCCGGTCGGCCGCCATCACCGCTGTGACGTGCTGCTGCCTCGCGCGCAGGTACCTGTGCAGGTGGAAAACGTTTTTTTTTTT